TGGGTGGCTCAGTCGGTTAAGCGTCTAACTCTTCATATTGGGTCAGGGTACTGTCTCAGGGTCCTGAGACTGAGCCTCGGTCTTGGGAGCTCTGTGCTGGGCGTGGAGCCTGCTTAAGATGCTATCTCTCGGGGCGCCTGGGTGGCTCAGGGGGTTAAAGCCTCTGCCTTCGGCTCAGGTCATGATCCCAAGGTCCTGGGATCGAGCCCCGCATCGGGCTCTCTGCTCCGCGGGGAGCCTGCTTCCTCCTCTCTCTCTCTGCCTGCTTCTCTGCCTACTTGTGATCTCTGTCAAATAAATAAATAAAATCTTAAAAAAAAAAAAAGATGCTCTCTCTCCCCCCATCTCAAATAAGTAAATAAATAAACAAATAAACAAATAAATAAAATTTCATATGAAAAATTCTACAGTATGTTCTCTTTTGTGCCTTTCTTCTTTCACTCAATATAATGCTTTTGAGATTCATTCCAAGTTGTTGAATGTAATGTTGGTGTGATCTTTTTTTTTTTTTCTTAAGATTTGATTTATTTATTTGACAGAGATCACAGGCAGGCAGAGAGGCAGGCAGAGAGAGAGGAAGGGAAGCAGGCTCCCCACTGAGCAGAGAGCCCGATGCAGGACTCGATCCCAGGACCCTGAGATCATGACCTGAGCCGAAGGCAGAGGCTTTAACCCACTGAGCCACCCAGGCGCCCCTCCATTCAAATCTTTTGCCTGGTTTTACAAATGGTATTGTTTTCTTATTCATGAATTGTAAACATTTTTTATAGAGACAGAGATGCAGGTGTCTGTCAGGCATATCTACTTTGAATATTTTCTCCCAATCTGTGACCTGTCTTTTCAGTTTCAGTTTTCAAATATTGTCTTTTGAAGAGCAGATATGTTAAGTTTTTTTTTTAAAGTTTATTATTATTATTATTTTCAAGGATTTTATTTATTTATTTGACAGACAGTGATCACAAGCAGGCAGAGAGGCAGGCAGAGAGAGAGAGAGAGGGAAGCAGGCTCCCAGCTGAGCAGAGAGCCTGATGCGGGACTTGATCCCAGGACCCTGGGATCATGACCTGAGCCGAAGGCAGAGGCTTTAAACCACTGAGCCACCCAGGCACCCCAAGAAGACAATGGGCTACACTGGGAAATTGTAATTAACTATTTCCATTGATTTTTTTTCATTGTTATTTACTTGACAGAGAGAGAGAGAGATCACAAGTAGGCAGAGGGGCAGGCAGAGAGAGAGGGAGAAGCAGGCTCCCTGCTGAGCAGAAACCCCAGAGCGGGGCTCAATCCCAGGACCCTGAGATCATGACCTGAGCTGAAGGCAGAGGCTTAACCCACTGAGCCACCCAGGCACCCCTTATTATTTTTTAGTCATCTCTCCACCCCAAGTGGGGCTCAAACTCACAATCCTGAGATCAATGGTCCTATTTTCTTCCGATTGAGCCACTTAGGTGCCCGACAAACTAGCTTTTTAACACTAGGAAATAACCTAATGTCATTGAAAAGGAGGTTGCATTGGGCAGGGGGATACACAGGTACAGAGTCCAGGAAAGTGGTCTGAGCTGAAATTAGAGATGGGGGAGGTGTCCCCGAGGAACTATGCATCTTCCAGGGTGGCGGCCACTCCCCATGTGGGGCTAATGAACACTGGACTGTGGCAAATCGGAATGAGATGTGCTCCAAGCGGTGAAGACTTGCAGGGGCGCCTGGGTGGCTCAGTTGGTTAAGCATCTGCCTTCGGCTCAGGTCATGATCTCAGGGTCCTGGGATCGAGCCCCATGCTGGGCTCCTGCTCAGCAGGAAGCCCGCTTCTTCCTCTCCCACTCCCCCTGCTTGTGTTCCCTCTCTCGTTGTGTCTCTCTCTGTCAAATAAATAAATAAAATCTTTAAGAAACAAAAGAGAAGAAAAGAAAAGAAAAGAGAAAAGAAAATTCAAGGGGTCATGAACTGGGATGGGACAATCTGACATCTCTCCCTAAACTTGAACTCAGGCCTTTCTTTGATTACAAATGTGGACAACACATCAAACTAGAATTAGTTGCTGTGGCCTAGTCCCCGACATCAATCACAGATGCTTGCAAGTCACATGAATTGTCGCCAATATTCATGTGATGGGCAGAATTCATTTTTTTTTTTTTTTTAAAGATCTTATTTACTTATTTGTCAGACAGAGAGAGAGAGCACAAGTGGGAGAGCAGCAGAGGGAGAGAGAGAAGCCGACTTCCCGCTGAGCAGGCAGCCCGATGCGGGGCTCAATCCCAGGACCCTGGGATCATGACCTGAGCTGAAGGCAGACGCTTAACTGACTGAGCCCGCCAGGTGCCCTGATGGGCAGAAGTATAAGACAGCCTCCAGGATCTCTGCCCCTAGCGTGATTTACCAAGGATTATGCTTGACCTATACGACAAAAGAGATGGATATCACTCTGACTAGGCTACCTTACATGGCAAGGGTGAAGAGATTTTGCAGATGTAATAAAGACCCCAAATCCATTAATCTTAATTAAAAAGGGTCAACTTAATCAGATGGAAGCACTTTCTTTATTTACTTGTTTATTTTTTATGATTTTATTTATTTATCTGAGAGAGAGCATGAAGGGGAGAGATCAGAGGGAGAAGCAGACTCCCCATTGAGCAGGGGGCCAGATGCAGTACTCGATCCTGGGACTCCAGGATCACAACCTGAGCCGAAGGCAATCCCTTAAGCAACTGAGCCACCCAGGCATCCCATAGTTTATTATTTTTAAAAGTAAACTCCAGCGGCGCCTGGGTGGCTCAGTGGGTTAAAGCCTCTGCCTTCTGCTCCGGTCCTGATCCCAGGGTCCTGGAATTGAGCCCTAGTAGGTCTCTCTGCTCAGCAGGGAGCCTGCTTCCCCCTCCCCACCTACCCCGCTCTCTCTGCCTGCTTCTCTGCCTACTTGTGATCTGTCAAATAAATAAATAAAATTAAAAAAAAAAAATGTCATTCCTGGGGCGCCTGGGTGGCTCAGTGGGTTAAAGCCTCTGCCTTCGGCTCAGGTCATGATCCCAGGGTCCTGGGATGGAGCCCCGAATCAGGCTCTCTGCTCAGCAGGGAGCCTGCTTCCTCCTCTCTCTGCCTACCTCTCTGCCTCCTTGTGATCTCTGTCTGTCAAATAAATAAATAAAATCTTTAAAAAAAAATGTCATTCCTGCTCTACTTAGAAAACACAGTTATGGGACCCACCATAGTTTTTTTTTTTGTTTTGTTTTAAGATTTTCATTTATTTATTTGACAGAGAGTGAGAAAGGGAACACAAGCAGTGGGAGTGGGAGAGGGAGAAGCAGGCCTCCTGCTGAGCAGAGAGCCCCATGGAGGCCTTGATCCCAGGACCCTGGGATCACCACCTAGCCAAAGGCAGACACTCAAGGACTGAGCCACTGAGACACCCAGCCGCACCCCCCCAACCCCTGCCTTTTAAATTAGTATGTTAATGAAGCCGCGCCAGTGTTGCGATACCAGGAACTTTTATGTTAATATTGAAATCTTTATTTCCAGGGGTGCCTGGGTAGCTCAGTGGGTTAAAGCCTCTGCCTTCGGCTCAGGTCATGGTCTCAGGGTCCTGGGATTGAGCCCCACATCAGGCTCTCTGCTCAGCGGAGAGCCTGCTTCCCCCTCTCTCTGCCTGCTGCTCTGCCTACTTGTGATCCCTCTGTCAAATAAATAAAATCTTTAAAAAAAGAAATCTTTAGTTCAAAATACAGCCAATTCCAATTTGCAGGAGTTTTGTTCTATAAAGTCACTGTGGACACTGAGTGGATGCAGACCCTTTGTTCCTGGAGGAAATACAGGGGCAGCTTCCTGCCGTCCTCTCATTACAACTTGCGTCAACCCATCAATACATAACCTTATTTTATGTGCTTTCTGTTCAGATACACCTTATTGAATATATAGTGATTCGTTCACACTGAAGTCACAGCCCACAGCGCTAGGATGCATGCCTGGGCCAAGCTTATCCTAACAAGACACATCCCAGCCTTCTCGCCCTTAGGAAGCCTCCTGGGTTCATTTTAAACAATGAAATTGGGCATGTCTGGGTGGCTCAGTTGGTTCAACATCTGACTCCTGGTCTCCACTCGGGTCATGATCGCGGGGTCTTGGGATCCAGCTCTGCAAGGTGAGGGGGGAGGATTTTTTCCCTCACCCTCTGCTCCTCCCCCCCCAACTCACGTGCTCTCTAAAATACAAGAAATCACCCCTAAAAGTACAAATATGCCAAGAAACGTGGCACCACATAGTTCGAGGAAAGGATGCTTATCTGCAGAGTGAGAGCAGAAGGAGGAAGGCAGGGTGTCCTCCTGCTCAACCTTAGCCAAAAAGGTCCGCACTGGGTGAGTCAAATCTTGCTTCTCTGGGCATTTGCATGCCAACCAACAACCACAAAAACCCAGTAAGTGTTAACTTGGGGGCTACAAATAAATTTTAGCGAGTAGGCAAATTCGCAAATATGGAATCTGTGAATAATGAGGAATAATGGCTAAGCGGTTTCCTTTGTGATTATGTGCATCTCATTTTATGCGCTTATAGACGTAATTTTGTGAAGGAGGGGGTGGCAGCCCTGAAAAGGTGATACCCCTGGTTATATACAGATGGGGAGTAACCAGCCAAAAATGTTCAGAAGGAGAAGTGGGAGGAGAAGAACGAGAAGAGGGTGGTGTTCTGGAGGTCCTGTGTAGGAAGATCATAGCTTTCTTCTGGAACTAGCTAGAAAGACTAGCTAGAAAGACTTCATGACCATCAACACAGGATAATCTGGAAATGATGCAACAAGAAAAAACATGGAATTAGCTGGAACTGTATCCACAGATATCCTCAAGCAGGTTGTACGTTCAAGTGACAGGCCCTTGAAGGTGCTCCAAATAAGTATTTCTAGAATGAATGAACTGGCTTCATAAACCAGAGAGAGAGAGAGAGAGAGAGATCTCTTACCCAAATCTCCTACTTAGAACTTAAGTTTTCGAGAGAAGGGACAAACAGTTCAATACCTGACAAAGTTTTTAATATGAAAAAAATCTTAATTTCTTTTTGGCAAAAACAGGGAGGGCAGCCACCACCCCACAGTCCTGAGTGGAACAGGAAGGCTTGGACAAGCACACAAAGAGCAGAGAGACAGGAGGTCTAATCTTGTAGCAGCTTCTGAGGAAGATCTCAGTCCAGGGGTAAGTTCAAGTCCACGGGTGAAATGGCGAGGATGCCCTCCTGGAGGGGAAAAGTGGAAGAGCTCATGAGCATTCACAGGTAGATCCTGTCCTCCATTCACAGTGGCATCCCTACCAGCCCAATGACAGCAGAGACAGGGACAGGGGTGGGAGGAGGAGGATCCGAAGAATCAGAGACCCATGGGTGGATAGGGACAGAGTCCTGGGAAAAGGGAGGAGAGACAAAGCCCCAGGGTGGAGGGCAGAGCACCAGTGTCATGGAGACAGAGAGACAGGGACCAGAGACTGAGAGACGGGGAGCAGGGTCCCGGGCTTGTAACGATCAAGAGCGCTGGCTTCGCGTCAAAGTCCTGAGTCCAATCCTCTGCATGAGGGACAATCTCCATAAAATCGGGATAACATCCAATCCCAGAAGGTTGTCGTGGGGTTTAAATGGAATCATTCCACTAAAAGTCCTTGGCTGTGCATGTGGCCAAACAAAAACAGAAACAAAAAACAAAACAACCCCCCCCAAAAGCCCCCAAAACAAAAGAACAATTTCACAAATAAATAAGCTTCTGCACTGAGCTCCAGACACGTATATCAGCTGTCCCCTCCTCATCTCCCTTTGAGGTCTGAAGGACGTCTCTCCCCTACCTGGACCACTTCCGATCATCTCTGACTCTTCTTCCAACCTGCTCCTCCCCCCTGCCCCTCCCTGTCTCAGGGAGCATCGGAAGCAGCCTTACTGCATCAGGCCGGCATCCTTGATTTCCGCCTCCCACTCATTAGCACTCCTAAATAGCACTCGTAATTCACTCATAAGCAAAATCTGTCAGTTCTACCTCTGAATTAACTGGGAGACTCCTCCACTACCGCCACTGCGGTCCGATCCAACCTCATCTCCTCCCTGAACCAGCGGACACCTCCCAACTCCCTACTTCCGCCTCGCCCTCTACGGTATCGCCCCATGAGGCCGCTAGAGGGCGCAAGTTAACACCTAAATCAGCTCACGTCGCCCTCCGCTCAGCGAGCTCGCTCAGTCAGTGCCCAAGTTCTTACCTTCACAAGGCCCGCCCCCACCTGCTCTCATCTCTCGCCCTCTCCCCTTCGCTCACCCTGCTTCAGCCCTACCGGCCTCTCTGCTCCTCAAACACCCCTGGCCAGCTCCTGCCACTCTGTGAAGCAATAGTTTCATCAGTACCCTGCAGCCCAATCCATCTCTGAGCCTGGCCTTGAATTTAAAGCAGTGAGCAAGCTAGGTAGGACTCCCTGGTCTTCTGAAGCCAATAGGTCGGGGCCAAGAGAAAACAAAAAGCAGAAAGAAATATAAGTAAAGCAAGTCAATCCTACCATCTGGTAGAAGCTGTGCGTTAGAAGGTGCAGGGTGTTATGAAGGAAGTAAAGCAATGAAGAGGCAAAGGGAGCGGGTGGGAGGGGATGGAGGTGGCTCTGGTTTCAAACGGGGACTAGGGGAGGCCTCACGGGAGGGTGACACCCGAATGGAGCAGAGGAAGTGACACGGGGATACCTGGGCAGGTGCATTCTGGAAGGCAGTGTCAGAGCAGACAGTCACCAGATAATCACGCAAATGCCCACAGGGTGCCAAGATCTTACAATGGTCCCATTTTAATCTTTACAATAACCCTTTAAGATGGGTACTTCTACTTGCCCTACCTGACGGATAAGGAAACCGAGGCCCGGGACACCTGGATGGCTCAGTGGGTTAAGCCTCTGCCTTCCGCTCAGGTCATGATCTCAGGGTCCTGGGATCAAGTCCCGCATCGGGCTCTCTGCTCAGCAGGGAGCCTGCTTCCCCACCCCCTCCTCTCTCTCGGCCTGCTTCTCTGCCTACTTGTGATCTCTCTCTGTTCATGAATAAATAAAAATCTTAAAAAAAAAAAAAAAAAAAAAAAAAAGGAAACCAAGGCCCAGGAAGGGGTCTCCCATGTTTCCCACTCGAAACTGTCAGTGTGTATCAGAATGGTTTAAGCCGGGCACAGGGTCCTTATTGATTACCTACTGGTGTACAGCTGGTACTCAATTAACACAAAACAATTGAATGATTGGGCTGGGAGAACACCTGTCATGTCTGAAAAGAAGCCGAAGAAGCCACCCCCAACCCCACCACACAGACACAAGTTACAGTTGGGTAAAGGGGGACCCAGAGAAGCTGTGGCAGCCCACCCAGCCCCCGTGTGCCTGAATCCAGGGCCCGAAGCTGTGCACGTGCTCCACACTGAGTCCAGCCAGGGTGCCCCCAAGCCGGGCCACGCGGCGGCTCAGCTCCATGGCCAGGGCCAGACGGGCCAGGGGCTCCGGGGAAGGCGGCGGAGGCCCAGGGCAGGGCAAGTTGGGACGTGGGCTGCTAGGAAGAGGGCTGTCCTCCCGGTTGGAAAACAGCTCCACTAGGCGGGCGAAGGAGCCCGCGGAGAGGCGGGCCAGCTTTCCACGCAGGGCCGGGTCCGAGGCCAGCTGTGGGGCGGGGAAGAGAAGAGACTGGGTCGGCCTCCGCCACGCCCCCGCAGCCAGCCAATAGGAGACTACCAGGCGTGACTTCCTGGTTAAAGCAGTCCCGACACTGAAGCTCAAAGCCACGCCCATCCTTCACACCAGCCAATCATAAACCAGAATCTGAGGTCTCCGCCAAACTACTCCTAGAAAGGTGGCCGACAGCCAATGAGAGCCAAAGCCCTAATTAGCTGAGTTCTAGAATACAGATCTTATAGCCACGCCCCCTAGAGGTTCCCTGAGAGTCCCCGGAACCAGGCTGGTCCCTACGACAACCCTGCCTTCCACCGTACAATTAATATTATTAGGATCATACACTTTCCCCAAGCTCCTGAGCCAATCAAGTTCCAGGAGCGAATCATAAGCTAGACCTCCTCCGGCTATTTCCCCCCACATTCCAAGGCATACCCCTATACAGCTAACCAGGGTTTCATATTTTAGACAGCCCTCTCCGAACAAAGTCCCTTCCCACTACCATACAGTCCCTAATTCCTAAACTGGTCCCAGTTTCCCAGATCACGTTTCGGGTGCCCACACCCCTTGTCTAAAGGCCACACCCCTCTCCCTGTGAATCCAAAACCTGACCTTATTCAACCAGTAGCGGAGAAGCTTAGCACGTCTGACCCCATAATGCTTCTATTTCCCTTACTGCTGGGACCTATAGTTTAGAAACTTCTGCTTAGCTCTGCACGTAGGCATACTACAGCTAAGATTCACAAAAACGGCTCTTTTACCGGAAATCTACCTCACCGGAGGAGATAAGGAAGTCTTTACAGAAATGACGACGCTCTATGTAAGATTTACAGGAACGACATGACCTGTACACAAAGATCAACTGACCAAGGATAGGGCGCGGGGGTGGCTCAGTCGGTTAAGGGTCTGCCTTCCGCTCAGGTCATGATCCCAGTGTCCTGGAATGGAGCCCCATGTCGGACTCCCCGCTGGGCTGGGAGTCCGCTTCTCTCTCTCCCTCTGCCCTCCCCACCCTCACCCTGCTCATTCTCTCTCTCTCTCTCTCTCTCTCTCTCTCTCAAATAAAGAAATAAAATCTCTAATCAATAAATAAAACCTCTCGAAAGAAAAAACTGACCAAGGACAAAAGATTTTACACAACCTTCCTCTGTTGTCTATAGACGGCAGCCACTTTTTGACTCCAATCCCCATCCCCTTCCCCTTCCTAACATAAAAGCAGCTCAGATCTCAGGCTGGGGGAGACGGTTCTTTGAGACAGTTGTATGCCATCTCCTCAGTGTGCTGCCTTTCCAAATAAAGTTGCTTTCCTTACCCCAACATCTTAGCTCTCAGCTCACTGGCCTGTGGTGCTGGGAGCAGAATGGGCTTGGACCCCGTTACAAACCCTTCATAGAAGCGGAGACCCACCCTCTCCTCACCTGACCGTCTAATGAGAATGCAGATCCAGGTTCTGATCCCAGTGCCCAGCCATCCCGCAATCCCCATCCCAGCTAAGGGATGGAACAGACAGCCTTGTCACCTTCTGATTGATAACTTCTGCCTCTTCCTCCAGCAAGGCCACCAGCTTCCGCAGTAGGGCTTCCTTCTCTGTGGGTGGGGCTCCCTGTAACTCTGGGGGTGTGTGTGGAGGGCAAAAGAGAATCAGCTGGGGGCAGAACCCTGCCCACCCTTCTGCCCTCATCCTTCTCTGTCTGGGGCCCCTTGGTCCCTCACCTGGGCTAGGTGGGGATCTCAGTTGCTCTTGGACTAGTTGTTCCAGCCGCTGGGCCACCAGAGCATAGAAATCTGGAGTTGCTGGGCCTGGGGTCAAAAGAGCCAATGATGGGTCTCTGGGACATTGAGAAGTTATGGATTCTCTCCTTGACCCAACCATCTTGCCAGGTTACAATGATTTCCATTTCATAGTGAGGTAAACTGAGACCCACTGAGCACACTTGGTAAAAGGACTTGGTACTTCCCATTTACTGTGTCCCCCAAACTAGACTTAGAATGTTACAGCCAAACTAGACCTTGAAGATGATCCTATCCAGGACAGGCAAACACAGGGCACTCCCGCGATTACCACCCTACCTACCCCTTGCTGGTTTCAGGCGTCATCAACTGATCACAGAACTCTTCTTCCCCAGCTGTGAAATCCCTTTCAAGTAAGCACTGCTGGTAGCCATTACTAGTCTATCAAGGCTCCCACATGAGTAACCCATATGGTTACTCTTGACCATGCCCAAGGACACCCCTCCACACACATGCACACATTCCTAGTTTGCTTCTGGAGAAATATAGGAACAAGAAACAAAAAGAAATTTCCCAGACTCATGTAGCCAAACAGCCAGGGAGTTGTGACTGAAAACCAGGTCTCCTTCCTCCCTACTGCCGGTACTGGAGGCTACAAAGTCCCAGGGGTAGGGAAGGATGCAAGGGAGGAGAGAGATAACAAACAGAAAGGGACCAAAAGCCCCCTTGGGAAGCCAGTTCACAGAATGTAACAGGGGGTGGGGGAGCAGAGAATGTGAGAGTAGTTCCCACTCAGCTCCCATCTTAGCTGAGTGATCTTGGGCTAGTTCCTTATCCTTTCTATGCTTTAAAGAATCAAAGCTTCTTAAAAAAAAAAAAACAACAACAACAAACAAAGCTTCTGGCCCTACCGGTTCATGGGTGATCTAGGGAAATCTCTTACCAGGCTCTGAAACATAGCATGGGCGGAGGGGCAGGGAGCAAGGCCGAGGGGATTCAGGGGGAACTGCTCCTCGACCCAGGGGGCAGGGAAGACATCGTCGAAGGCGGCTCAGGAAATCTGTTGGCTCCTCCTGGGCAGGACTCCTGGGAAAGGGGACCTCAGAGAGTGACCCCAGAGGCCCCTTTGCAAGCAGTCCCTTTTTCCTCCCACTGAGGGCCTCTTGGTGCAACCCCAGGGACAAGGAAAAGAGCCAGATATAAAGAGAGGGGAACACAGAGACAAGGCACAAGAGTCAAGAGGGCCCCACCCCAGATGCAGGCCCCTGAGGGAGGAGGGCAACTCCTCTTACCTGGGTGGGACTGGAATGGGGGACCCGGCAGCCTCACCTCGCCTAAAGAAGGCAGCTAGGACTCTCACCGTGTCCTCCCGGAGGCCCAGCTCTTCCGAGCCTGCCATGGGGGCACCTGTGAAAAAGGGAGCTGGGGGATGGTCTCCAGGGTTGACCTGAGGTGGAGGATGGGGGCCCAAATGCCTCGTCCCTGAATAAGGAGGAGGCCGGGACCTGTGAGTCCCCAAGGGAAGAAAGGGCTGAGAGCTTTAACTCCTAAGCCCTTTAGAGGAGTTAGAGTCTGGGGACCGAGACTCTAGAGTCCTCGGAGGGAGAAGAGGGAGGAGGACGAAGACTCCTTGATCCTTGGAGAGGAAGAGGCTGGGGACCCGGATTCCTGGGTCTAAGAGAGAAAGGGACTGGGGGCTGGACTCGAGTTTTCGGAGAAGGGGGCTGGGGGATCTGAATTCTTGAGTCTGACAGAAAAGGGGACTCGGGACTCCGACTTTTGGATTCTGAAGGCATATGCCAAGGGGCTCGAGCTCTTAGAGAATCGGGAACTACGAATCCCAGCAGGCTTCATGACAAACCTTCCCCTCTATCCGCACTTGGCTCGCCGCGCAGCCTCCTTGGGAGGTGTAGTTCCCTTATCCGACCCAGGCTGGAATCTTGGGGTCTCGGGGCGCATGGATGTCGGAGAAGGGGGACTGAGGTGCCGGCTTCGAGATCCCGGCCTCTTCCCTTCTCACCCCAACCCTCCCAAAAGCCCGGCTCACCTGGGGCCGGAGCCTCCGCCCCCTCCTCCTTCACTGAACTTGCATAAACTTCTCTTAGTTCAACTTTCCCGCGCCTGCGCACTGGGCCGGGTTGGTGCCGGCCCTATTGTAGGAGAGGCGGAGCGCGGGGGCCCATCTAATTTGCATGTGACGTTCCCAGCATGCCGTTGGCCAGAAGGCCTAAAAAGGACATTGACGCGGAGGCGGGCGTGCGGTCCGGGCTCTTGGTGCCGCCTCTTTGGCTCTGAAGTGTGTAGACTGACCGCAGTTGAAGTTTTTATTTCGTGAAATCGATAGAAAAGAAAACCGCATTGCTCTGAAGCTCAGCTGGCAGGAAGGAGGGTGTGCAGCTACAAGTTCCGAGAGCTATCGGACCCCCAAAAGCAGGGGTGGATCCTAGCACTTTGCGCCCCCGACTCTTCACGTAGGTAACGGCGGATTTGGGGAATGGGTGGCGTCCGGACCGAGAAGCGCCAGAAAAAACGGGTCTCCCCTGAGAGACTAGAGGAGGCACTGTACTCGGGAAAGTGAAGCAGCCAGGGGAGAAAGTGAAACAATTGCCGGTGCTGGAGGTCGGCTGTAAAAACAACATAACAACAGGAAAAAGTAGCGGGGAGGGTGGGAAAGGCAGGCGTCCTCACTGGGGGATCTAAGGGAGAGAAGAGTGGACCCTGAAAATGGGAGGCAGTCCACCCTATAAAGTGTGTGTGTGTGTGCGCGCGCGTGTGCGCGCGGGCGCCCTAGAAGAGCCAGGCTGTGTTTGGGGTGGGGTGGATGGAGGGTCTAGGGTGGAAATGGCTGAGCGGCTCTTCCGTGGGGCAGTTTGTAGAAGGGGTCTACAACACGGTTAAGTGCAGGAGGTAGAGATCTACAAGTGAATAACGTCTGCCCTGGCATAACTAGGGGAGGTTCTCTAACTTGGAAGTGGGGTTAACTGCATTGGGTGATGTGGGGGAGGGGAAAGGAGTAAAGGGTTTACGGCGGAAGAGGAAGGGATCTACACTGGCGGAATTGGGGAGGTAGGGGGCCTGCACAGAAGAAGGTGGGGAAAGAAGAGGGGACCGTCCCCGCCCATGAACTGCCCTCTAAGCGCAGGCCGGACCATGGGAACCCCAAAGCCGCGGATCCTGCCCTGGCTTGTGTCGCAGCTGGACCTGGGGCAGCTGGAGGGGGTGGCCTGGCTGGACGAGAGCCGCACACGCTTCCGCATCCCTTGGAAGCACGGCTTGCGGCAGGATGCCCAGCAAGAAGACTTCGGCATCTTCCAGGTGCGTGAGCTTCCGGAACACTGGGAACCCTGAGATAACCGCGGGGAGGAGGGGGGACTAGCAGGGGGCGGAGCCGAGGAAGCGGGGGTTAGCACGCTAGCAACTGGCAGGCGCTGACGCTGGCAGGTGGAGGTAGGTGGAGTTAGGACGAGACTGGGTAGGTTTAGTAGGGTCAGCGGACTAGCAAGGTTGGAGGGGCCGGATTCCGGAAAAAGAACCAGAAAAACAGGGTTAGAACTCGAAAGGAATGCAAAGGGAGCATTCAGGACTCTCAGAGGGCGGGGTCTTGGTCGTAGAATTCTGGGGACGGGTGTCGGAACCTTAGAGGCAAGACTTGGCCCGGAAGCTGAGGTGATTTCTCATCAAATTAGGATACACCAGTGGTGGTAACCCGAGTTGGAGTGCGAGGGGCGGGTTATTACAGAAGGTGTTCTGGGGCAGGTTGGTGGCAGAGTTGAGACAGACCTGGAAGGCTGGCTTAGAAAGCAAAGCTTTTCAAAAGGTGAAGATAGGGGGCCTTAGGATGCAGAGAATCCAAGAATCTGGGGTTGGATCCTTGCCGAGTTAGAACGTGCCAGGGGAGAGAACACTTGGGGCAGGGTCTTGGTCATCCTCCTCACTATCCTGGTACCCACTGGCTCCCCAGGCGTGGGCCGAGGCCAGCGGTGCCTACACTCCCGGAAAGGATAAACCTGATCTGCCCACCTGGAAGAGGAATTTCCGATCCGCCCTGAACCGGAAGGAGGGGCTGCGTTTAGCCGAGGATAGGAGCAAGGACCCCCACGACCCGCACAAGGTCTATGAGTTTGTGATCTCAGGTGTGCCAGAAGTGGGGCTTCACATGGAGAGGGTGGGATTTTGAGTGTCCCCAACACTCTGCTCTACTCACCACCTTCCTTGTCAGGAGCTGGGAACTGTCCTGAGTCGGACACATCACTGGGGACCAATGGTGGATGCAGTACCTTGGCTACCCAGGTGAGAATGCACCCCAGCCCTCCCGCCCCATCTGACCCATCTACTGTCTGTCTCCCCATGGCCTTGTTCAGGCGTCCTCTTCTCCCCCGGACCATCACCCCAGTCTTCCTCCTGAGCGTCCATCTTCTGCCCTGCGGGCTGTCCCGCGTCTGATCCCGAGCTGACCCTGTCCCCCTGCCCAGAACCCTTCCATGGCTTCCAGCACCCTCAGGACAAAGTTCAGAGCTTTCCCCAGGCATCTAGGGCCCACAGACACCTACCTGGAATTTCATAGCTTCTGTTGCTAGAGTACCCTCAGCCTCCTGGGAACCCAGACCATCCTACCCTTGACCTTGCTGTCTGTGCCAGGGCAAGTTCCCTCCGAAATTGTGTCCAGCCTTCTCTGCCCAGGTCTTGTTTGCACAGGGCCAGAACCTTGGGCTGGAATTAGCTGCTCCCCTTGGGCCCCAGTAGCACCCAGCATATACCAGAGCACATATTTTGCTCTCTGTGCCCATGGTTGTCTCCCTGCCTCCCCCAAACCCTCCTCACAGGAAGCCCCTTGAGGGCAAAGCTCAGGTCTGACTTGTCTCCTGATCCCAAAGCCTGGTCCATATGAAGTCTCTTGAAAGGGCTATGGAAATGCCAGATCCTTTTTTCTTCTCTCCAGGAAGACATACTAGAGGAGTTACTGAATGACATGGCCTTGGCCCCATTCCCAGATGGGGGGCCCTCCAGCCTGGCTGTGGTCCCTGAACAGACCCCTCCGTTCTTGCTGAGCCCCACTGTAGACATCCCTCCTCCCTTCCCAAACTCAGAGCCCCCGGAAAACCCACTGAGGCAGCTCTTGGTGCCTGAGGAAGGTGAGTTCCAAGTATGGGGTGGAAGGGGCTGGGGCGCCACGCCCCCTTATACTCTCTCTGTCTCACTCCCCCTTCATGTCACTTCTGCCACCACTCAGAGTGGGAGTTCGAGGTGACTGCCTTCTACCGGGGCCGCCAAGTCTTCCAGCAGACTGTCTTCTGCCCGAGGGGCCTGCGGCTGGTGGCATCAGAAGCAGGGGACGGGACGCTGCCTGGACAGCCAATCATATTGCCAGACCCTGGGGTATGGCTGACGGACAAGGGTGTGTTGGGCTACGTGAGGCGTGTGCTGAGCAGCCTGGGCGGGGGACTAGCTCTGTGCAGGGCAGGACAGCGGCTCTGGGCCCGGAGGCTGGGCCACTGCCACACGTACTGGGCCTTGGGCGAGGAGCTCCTCCCTGACAGCAGTCACGGGCCCAGTGGTGAGGTCCCCAAGGATGAGGAAGGACACGTGTTCGACCTACGGCCTTTCGTGTCAGGTGAGTGAAGCAAGGCCTTCTGACTCTGCTGTGGAAAGACTAGGTCATGGTGATTAAGAACTCTGGGTTCTGGGGGCGCCTGGATGGCTCCGTCGGTTAAGTGACTCTTGATTTCGGCTCAGGTCCTGATCTCATGGTTGTGAGATCAAGCCACCGAGTCGGGCTCTGCACTCAGCTTGGAGCCTGTTTAAGATTCTCTCTCTTTCTCTCTCTCTCTCTCTGCCCTTCCCCGCCACACTCCGTCCCTCTCTTTAAAAAAAAAATAGATTTCAAATCTCCAGACTTCCAAGTTCCAGTTCAGGCCCTGCTGCTTTGCTTCTGCTATAACCGGGGGCAAACTATGGGGCTGCTCTGCATCTGCCCGAGGATGGTCTCTGCTGCTGGAGGCACAGGGCCCAGTGTGCAGAAGGTGCTCGAGGAATTAGCTGCCGTAGTCCTCATTGTTCCCAGTTATTCTTGTGGATAGACAGACGCAGGAGAGACAAGTCTTTAGGGCTTTGTTACTGTGTAGATATGTCTGCAGTGAAGGAAATGTTCTGGATTTGCACTGTCCCATCTGGTATCCACCAGCCACAGGTGGCTGTTGAGTACTTAGGCCAGTGCAACTGAGGAAAGGAGTTTTATTTTATTTTTAAAAGATTTTATTCATTCATTTGACAGGGAAACAGCGGGAGAGGGGGAAGCAGGCTTGCCACAGAGCAGACAGCCTGATGCAGGGCTCGATCCCAGGACCCCAGGATCACGACCTGAGCTGAAGGCAGCTGCTTAATGACTGAGCCACCCAGCTCCTCCTCTGTTTGCTTTTAATTAGTTACTACTTAAACAGAAATAGCCGCAGTGGCTAGTGGCTACTACCAGGAGAATGTGGCCTTAGGGGGTTAAAGAGCAGAAACTGCCAGCCACCTTGTACTCCAGAATCAGGGAAGTCCTTGCGGAGAGTGTACTCCTTCCTATCCCAAATGAGGGCAGGGGTGGGGGGTCAGTGCAGAGCTTCCAGCCCCACCCCGATGGGAGGAAAAAAAAAATTTAAGATTGTGCTGGAACTTTTCCTAGATTAGCAGCCGTCTGGTCGTGCTGTAGGTATGTCAGGCTTCAGGTCAGAGGAGAAGGTGAGGCTGATAGGTCGGGGGCGGGGGGAGGGGGCAGGGAGGGCAGGTGGTGGAGGGTCCTCCTCCCATGCCTGACTAGGATCTCGGGCCTCCAGATCTGATTGCCTTCCTCGAAGGAAGCGGACACTCACCACGCTACACCCTCTGGTTCTGCATGGGGGAGCCATGGCCCCAGGACCAGCTGTGGACCAAGAAGCTCGTGATGGTCAAGGTGCTGCAGTCCCGGGCTTCTGGAGCTAAGGGGTGGATCTTAAGGAAGGGAGGAGGAACTACAACTCCCAGAAGCCCTCTGAGGAACTACAACTTCCAAGAGTCTCTGCAACCACCAGTTCCTCATCCTCAGGAGCTTCTGGGTGTCCCTCTCCTGGCCTCACCCCCAGAACCTGTTTTGAACTCTGAAAACCATGTGGAAGTCGGTCCTAGCAGCCTCTGTGAGGAACTACGGTGCCTCTGAGTCCTGACCACAAGCTGTCCCGCCCTAGCTTCTGGGAACCCCTCCAGCATTTCAGCCCTAGGAAACTTCTCAGACCACTGGTGGTTGTGGTTATGGGGGGGGGGGGACTACAACTCCCAGCAGCCCTGGGCCTACTGATTCATCCTGGGTGACAGTGGGCGCTGCTGGGAGTTGTAGTTTTCCAACCCCACCCTTGACAGTAAACTGTATTGAGTGTTTCCCCTGACTCCTGTTTCTCCCCCCACCTCCTGCAGGTTGTTCCCACATGCCTGAGGGCCCTGCTGGACATGGCACGCTCAGAGGGTGCTTCCTCACTGGAGAACACTGTGGACCTGCACATTTCCAACAGCTACCCACTCTCTCTCACATCAGAGCAGTACAAGGCCTACCTCCAGGACCTGGTCGAGGACATGGATTTCTAGGCCACGGGGGAGGTCAGATCCCTCACTCCTCACGGGTGCTGCCCCCTCGTGCCTTCACCTCGGCCAATAAACTATTTCTTGCCATTGTCACCACTTGTGTGCCTGGTGTTGGGTGTGACCTAGACTGGGCGTTATTCCTTCTTAGGGCCTCAGCGTACCCATCTGTGCAAGCAACTCCCACCCCAGATGCTCTCTGCATGAGGACAGACACTGTGCAGGGGGCAGTTGATACCTGTCACCTCCTTACCTCTTCCCTGGACCTGGTGAGGAGGGTACAGTCACCCCCATTTTACAGACCAAGACACTGATGCTTGGAGAAAAGCAAGGATCACAAAGCAAGAAACACAAGATGGGTTAGAATCCAGTCTGACTCCAGGGGTGCTGCTCTCCAAGGGGGGCCCTGGGGCAGAATCTAGAACCCCTGTCTTGTCTATGAACAGTTCAGGCCACTGTCCAGTTAGCAAAGAACCTTTCACCTGGATCATCCTGTCAGTTGGGGGCGGGGGCCTTAGGTCCCCCCGCAGCTCGTGCTGGGCGACCTCAGGCAAGTCCTCCCTTCCAGGCCCTGAGCCCCGCTCTGCACTGGGTTGGAACAGGCAGTTCTAGAGAAGTTCTGGGCTTTAGCCTTAAAGACTGCCCACCCCAGCGGGGACTGATGGAGGCCAATGTGGCCCTGACTCACTCTGTGGCCCCTGCTGCTCTGTGCCTCAGTTTCCCTCTCTACTGCAGGAGAATGGATAAGATCACTGCAGCCTCGGAGGACTGGTAAAAAGAGAATCCAATTCAATGGGGGACAAAGGTCCTACGGCTGGGGCAATTCCAGGGCAGACCGATAGCACCCAGGTGCCCCGAGCTTGGAAGACACCGAGCAGGTGGGACCTGGGACCCCAACCTCCCACCCACTGCCACTTTCTGTCAAGAGCAGCGGCTGAGGAGCACCTGGGTGGCTCAGCGGTTAAGCCTCTACCTTCGGCTCAGGTCATAATCTCGGGGTCCTGGGATCAGCCCTGCATCAGGCTCTCTGCTCAGCAGGGAGTCTGCTTCCCTCTCTCTCTCTGCCTGCCTCTCTGCCTACTTGTGATCTCTCTCTCTGTCAAATAAATTTAAAAAAGAAAAAAAAAAAAAAGTAGCGGCTGACTATGTACCAGGGGTGCGAGAAGTACTTCATTTGCCTGGGTCTTCCTCCTTCCAACACCCACGTCAAAGATCAGGACACTGAGGCCCAGAGAGGCGAATGCACTCTGCCTGAGTTACACCCGGCTAGCCACCCTCGGGCATAGGCCAGACCACCTGAGTATCTTCTCCCAGCCCTTTCCCAGACTGGTCTCTGAAAAGAAAGGGCTGAAATCATGGGGCTTGGGGCTAACATTTCATGAAATCTTTAATGAAATTGGGGGAGGGACACAAACAGAAGGGAGGGGCGATGGGGACAGGCTTGGGGGCAAGGGGCACAGGGCAGGGCGGGGCAGGGGGCTCTCCTCTTCCCTGCAGCAACCCTCCCCCAGTCATCCCACTGATGGGGGGAGGGAAGTGGGGAGGTGGAGCCATAAATACGTCCAGAATTCCAAAGAGGCGAAGGAGGGAAGGGGTGGCTGAGGGTCTCAGAGAGGGGGCAAGGGCAGGCCTGGGCCACCCTTGTCAGGGGGCCCGGGCTCCTTGGGCGGCCTCGGGGGCCCGGGGGGGTCGCCTGGCTTGCGGCCGTGCTTGCGAAAGTAGCGGTAGCGCTGGACGTAGGCCCGCACCAAGTTGCTCACCTTCACCGGGTTGATCTCCCCGCTTTTGCTGTGGCAGATCTAGGCAGTGAGGGGCAGCTGTGGTCACTACCAGACCACTGGGGTCCCTGCCACCTGGACTGCTGAGCACAGCTGGCAACTAGGATGGGAGCTGCTCCCCCCAGTTCCAGGCTAACACCCCTACCTGCCTCCCTGCCACCAGCAGGCCAGGCCCTGGCGGGCTTGAGCAAATCCCATCCCTCTCCTCACCTTCCGGACAGACGCACCCCTCCCAGCTCCCCGTCTGGGTAACATCTGTCTGCGCGTGTCCGCCTCTCCTCCTCCTCCTCCTCTCCCCACCTTGGTGTACCTGTTCGCCTCCGGGCCCCACCTTGTGGACAGCCTTCCGCAGGATGTCCTTGTACTCCTCCTTGGTGATGTCCTTCTTCTGATAGTACGGCTTGATGGCCAGCTTCACCTCCTCCACTGCTCGCTCCTGCGTGTGCAGTTTCTTCAAATACTGGCAGAGGCGGGGACAGAGCAGGAAGAAAGGACAGCAGAGGCCAAATGAGTTCCTGTGGAAGCCCCAGCCTCCCCTCCCCTGCCTGCTGGCTCAGCCTCAGCCCTGCACTCCCCTCGCTGCCGTCACCCCCGACCGCAGGCCAGGCTGGGCCTCCGCCAGGCCGGATCCCGGGCCCTCCCAGTGGCCCTGGACCAGGACCCACACGTCCACTGCCCGCACAAAATGGACATGAAATGAGAGGTGGGCCACGGGCTGTCGGACCAGGATGGAAAACAAGCAGACATGACCAGAAGGAAAACCGCCCTGAGGCCCCCCGAGCAGGAGCCAAGTGCAGCTGAGGAAAAACCTGTCCGAATCTGCCTGGCACCCACTCCTGCCCTCCAACAGATGCCTGACTTTCCTTTCTTAAACCATCCTCCTCTCACACGGAAGGATGGGGAGGGAAGGAGGGACACGAGTGACCACAAAGTACACAGTCGTCCGGACGCGTGTCGGCACGTGGGTGTGTTTACGTCGTCGTGCTTTTGTACCTCCCTCACCCTCTCCGTGCGCACATAATGGGGGAAAAATCTACCCAGCGCCCATCTCCCACTCATCCATGTGAGGGAAAGCCGAGCTCCTTACATTTTAATGACTTTGGTATGATCTAAGTTCCCGCCTGTGGGCATCAGTCTCCTGTCCTCCTTGGGCCCCTGTGTCTCAGCATCCATTCCCATTCTCTGCAAAGCTGCCACCAGCCACCCACCGCCCCCAAGCCCAGCTCACCTTGTCTGTGTCTCCCCGTCCCTCGGAGCTGCTGCTGCCCTCTCGCTTGTCAGACGCTGCAGCCAGCCCGGTGGGAGTGGGAGGGGTCGAGCCGCAGCCCCCCAGGGGGAGGCTGCCAGGGAGCAGGTAGCTAGAGGGACCAGGGGGCAGCCCCAGAGAGGTGGGCACAGGGGCTGGGGTCACCCCAAGACTAGAGGGCGGCTTTCGGTGGCTGAGGATCTGTGGGAAGAGGTTGGAGAGAACATGAACAAAGGGAGGGGAAGGGGAAGAGGGACCACGCACCCCCATCATTCCCACCCTGGCTTCCCAATAGTCCCAGGGGCCAGAGGCTCCTCTTCTGGCCAATCCCTTCCTTGTCCGAAGGCCCGCTGGGAAGTGCAGTTCCTCTCCTGACCAGAGTCAGGGCACAAGAGAAGGGACTGTGGGGACTCTTCCCCAGGGGAGCCCACCTGGTTGGTGGCCTGGATCAGTTCCTGGGCCTTTGCTCGGCTCGCCAGATTGGCTTCTTCCATCTTGAAGAGAAGTGCAGTCACTGCAAGGGGCAGACAGTCGAGGACAAGGACATCAGGAGTTGACACAAGAGGGGCCGGTGAGCGACACCTGGCCACCTGCTGCCCCCTCCCACCCGGACCCCTAGAGAGGCCATGGGTCTCGGGCTCAGAGCTGGGAAAAGGGGGCCTCGGCCCCTGAGAGAGCCACTCCGCACCCCCCCACCCTGTTCTTACTTAGGACTTAAGGTACGCGTGTGGTCGGGGGCAATATGGCCAGGTTACTTGGGGACAAGGTGGTGGCAGAGGCGAGATTCCGTCTCAAGCCCCCTGTGGCATATCGCCATCCCCCGAGGGACACTGCTGCCCCCCACCCCCGTCTTCTCTCTGGTCCCTCCACACCTATCCCAGGCCACTTGCAGGCAGCCCCCGGTCTGCGCCAGGCTGACCGCCCCGCGCTCACCCGCCTGCTCTCTTCCAGCATACCCAGACATCAGTGAGCCTTCCGGACAGACCCTGATCGAGCCCTCACCCACCCCAGCCCCTCACTGTCTGGGACACTGCGCACCAACCCCTTCCAGGGCATCCCCACTGCCTCCCGAGTCTGACCCCCTAGGACCTCCACCTCTCAGTCCTGTCTGCACCCCCCAGCCCCAGGGCACACTCACGGGCCAGGACGCCGCTGGTGGTGCAGTCCACACCAGCAGGCAGGTTCCAGGGCATGGGCGGGGGCAGCGTGGGCAGCTGGGAGACACGGGTGGCTGGCCCGTCCTCCGCCCCCGAGTCACCGGCCGTGGACCCCGCGCTAGGGGCAGTGCTTGGGGCAGCTGCAGCCGTGCTGGTGGCTGTGGTGGTGGCAGGCTGCTGTTCCTCCTCCTCCTCCTCCTCCTCCTCCTCTTCCTCCTCCTCCTCCTCCTCTTCAGCCCCACCTCGGACTCCAGCCTCCTCGGCGGCCTCTTCGGGAAGGAAGGAGACCTCGGGCGTCTTGCAGCTGCTATCCACGGTCTGCGAGTCCGGTGTGAGCGCAGGGGGCGGAGGGGCTGCCTTAGGGGGCGGGGTGCTGGGGGCCTTGGCTGCCCGTTCTTCCCCGGACCAGGAGGTCTCCTCCACCCCCTTGGCCCCCGCTGCCTGGCTGCAGCTGTCCGCCTTGGACTTCTTTAGCATCACGGGGCCACCGCTGCCCCCGCTGCTGCCCCCGCTGCGGATCTTTTTCCTGGTCTTGGATGGCTTGGTCTTTCCCTTGGTCCCCTTGGCTTTCTTGGCCCCAGCCTTGGCCTTGACCTTGGTCTTTTTGGGCTTGGTGCTGCCCGGAGCTGCTTTGGCCACCTCGGTGGGGGCCCGCTCATCGGGCTTGAGGAAGGGGGAGCGGCTCTCCCGGTCTCGGCTGAACTTGACCCCGATGGAGCCCAGGCCGGCTGACGCGGCCTCCTTGGCAGGCGTGGTACTGCTGACGCCTTCGCGGATCAGCACTGCCACCTTGGACTGCAGCTTCACCTTCCGGGAGGAAGAGGAGCACGAGGAGGAGGATGAGCCCGAGCCACTGCTGACCGGTGGCTTTGGTGGGGGCCCCGAGGAGGCCGCTGACTCCTTGGGAGGCCGAACCTTCTTGGATGACCTGTCCCTGTCCCTATCTCTGTCCCTGTCCCGGTCCCGATCCCCCCCATCCAGTGCCTTCCGCCGTGATCCCTTCTCCCGGGAGGAAGAGGAGGAGGAGGCAGCCCCGGAGCGGCGCCGGTCCTTCTCGCTGCTCTTGCCACCCCGCTCCTCAGCGCTCAGTCCCTCCGAGTCGTACAGGACCTCTCGCTTGGGCGACGAGGCCGGGGCCGGTGAGGGGCCACGGGGGTCGGGCTTGTCAGGCCGGCCCACGGTGATGGTCCGCTTGATGGCGAAGAGATCGTGGTCCGTGAGGTCCTGGATGGAGGGTGGCACAGCTCCCCGGCGGCGGCTGTCGCGCTCTCCGCCCAAGGAGCTGGAGCCGGAGGGCGGCTGGGTGGGCACCGGGGCCTTTTCGCTGTCCCCAGAGCGCTTCTCGCCCCGGGACCGCGAGCGCTTCTTCTTCTTCTTGCTGCCGCCGCCGTCTCGGTGCTTGCCGCGGTGCCGCTCGCGCCTGGACGAGGAGGAGGAGGAGGTGGCAGGGGGCGGGGAGGCCGAGCGCCGCCGCCGCCGCCGCTTTTCCCGGGACCGAGACCTGCGGCTGCCCCCGCGGCGGCGGTCGGTGCTGCGTGAGCGGCGGCGGGCGGAGCGGGAGCGGCGGCGGGCGGACGACGAGGCGTGCGAGCCCGGCTTGCGGTCCCGGGAGCGGTGCTTCTTGGAGTCCCAGGGGGAGGCCGGGGCCGGTGGGGCGGGCGCCGCGCCCGACGAGGACGAGGCGGCCTCCTTGGCCTCGCCGCCGCTCCGCTTTCGCTCCCGCCGCGACTTCTTGCGGGTGGGGGGCCCGGCGGGGGCGGTGGCAGCCGCAGGGGTGGCGGCGGGGGAGGGCGAGCGCTGCCGGTAGCGCTCCCGCCGCTGCGTCAGGATCTTGCGGCGCAGGTCCAGGCCGCCCCAGCGCGTGTCGGCGGCCGGCGGGGCGGGAGCCGGCTCCCCTAGGTCCACCTGCAGGGCGCCCTCGCCGTCCGACTCGGCGTGCAGAGACAAGAAGTCGTCCCCCTCCGGGGCCCGGGGAGCGGGGGGCGGGGGCGGGGGCTGGGCCGCGGGGGGTGCCGCGGCCGCAGGAGGGGGGCGCGCTGCCCGGCCGCCGCTGGGCCGAAACAGGGACACCGCCACCCGGGGCTCCTCCTCAGGCTGGACGATCTCGCCCTCCTCAATCTCTGAGTCGCCGGGTGGCAGCAGGGTTGGCGGGATGACGGCTCCACCGGCTGTCACCACCTCCACGGAGACCTTGCCTTCCCGACAGGCCTCTGCCTCGGTCCCTACCACGAAGACGCGCCTGCGGCTGGCTCCATCCACCCGGGTGGAGTCTACCTGGGGCGGCGTTCCGGGGGCTGGCGTTGGCTGTGGGGGCTGGGGGTCCGGGCGGGGGCTCTCATCACCTGGGAAGTCCTGGCTCAGGCTGTTGTCATCATAGATGCCCGCCAGGGTCTCCGAGATGCGGCTGATGCTCTGAGACAAGCCTTCCTCCTCCTCTTCTTCCTCCTCTTCCTCTTCCTCCTCCTCTTCCTCCTCCTCCTCCTCCTCTTCCTCAGGCGAGGGTGTCCCCGCGGATGAGCTGGGGTTGGAGCCAGTGGGCTCAAAGGGGTCATACTTCTGCTCCGGAGCAGGCGGTGGGGAATAGGCCTCATCGGTGGGGTGGAAGGGGTCATAGATGTCGAATCGGGGGGCAGGTGGCGCCGGTGGTGCTGGGGGTGGGGGAGGTGGGGGAGGGGAGGGGGAGGAAGATGAAGGGGAGGGGGAGGGGGAGGAGGACGCAGAGGAGGGAGCAGGGGGAGGGGCTGGGCCCCCATCTCCGGTGCCCAAGGTGAGGAGGTGGCGGGCACAGGAGGGGCGAGAAGAGTGGGGCTGTGGAGAAACTGCAAAGAAACAGTGGAGACGGAGAACCACGGTCAGGTGCACACCTTCCTCCCGGTGTCCTGCATAGCGCCCACGGGCAGGACGGCACCCCAGCCACTGCCCTCCTCCGGCGGCCCTCAGGGCTCCAGCAGACGCAGCTCTCAGCGCTTTACTCGGCCAGACTCACAGCACATTCCCACAACTCCACACCACGGACACTACGTCCTTACTGGAGGACACTGAGGCTCAGGGAGCTGCAGTATCTTCCCGAAGGGCCCACAGCGGGGAGAAGCTGGGTGTGGACTCGGTCAGTGCGGCCACCGAGCCTGCACTCCCATATCCTGAGACGTCCCCTGGCCGGCAGCCCAAGAAGCCCATGACCAGTGTTACCACAGAAGACAAGGGCCAGAGCGGGGCAGCTGGGATTTGAACCTAAAACCACCTTTGAGGCCGAGCTCTGGCCTGACACTCTGGCTGCCTCTGGGAGAAATTTATCCTGCTTCATGGAGGGAATCGCCTGCGGCTGCAAAGGTGATAACTCCCTCTCGAGAGCCAGGAAAGGGCAGAGCTGGGGAGCCCTGGCCGCTGGAGTCCTCGCCCCATGCACGTCACTCTGTGACGAGCCCCATCCAAGGGGCTGACAAGCGACAGGAACAACCAGGGTCCGCCCCTCCTACCAACCGGCATCGTGCTTTCCTGCGCCACCATCGCTGCCTCCCGAGGCCATGCTTTCTGAAGACAGGGTCTCAGGGCCATAAATCCCACGTGGAGACAACGGACCAGGGCCGCACCTCCAGACACACACACTGGGGTGCCCTCAACCTCCCCTCTCAACCACATACTACAGGGCGCTGCAACGGCCAGGATGCCAGCATGGTCCGGTGGACAGTGCCACGATAGCCAGGGCTCACGAGGGCAGTCCCAGAGCTACCTCTCAACCCGATCCCAGGCTCTAAGCCCTCACCCATGACACGACCAAGGACAAGGACTTCAACTGCTGCGTGCCTCGGTTTCCTCATCTCTACAGTGGGGTCCACTCATTCATTCAGGACATTTTTACTGATCACCTATCTTGTGCCAAGGGCGGTCTGGGGTACTAGGAATAGAAGAGTGAGCACAAGAGACAAAGTCCCTGCCTTCAAGGAGCTCACGTCGAGCAGGGCGAGAAATCTCAAGGAGCCACAGAGGGCTCCTTGAGAGCCAGCTACTGAGGGCTGAGGAAGAAGATAAAGCAAGAGGGGACGCCCGGGTGGTGCAGTTCTTGATTTCGGCTCAGGTCATGATCTCAGCATCATGAGATCAAGCCCCGTCAGGCTCCGTGCTTGGCAGGGAGCCTGCTTGAGATTCTCTCTCTCCCTCTGCCCTCCCCACCCCTCTAAAATACATAAATAAATCTAAGAAAGAAAGAGAAAAAGGAAAAAAGGAAAGAAACGAAAGCAGAGAAGGATGGTGATGATAGCATTCACACCTCACGAGGAAGAGGGGACCGGACGAGCAGCTATGGGGACCGAACCCGCAAGGACCCGGTGAGCATGAGCTCTTGCTACCCTGCTTACGAATTATTACTACGCCCAGAGGTATAGAGGAATCCACAGGCCCGAGCGGTCTGGAACTGCAAGACAGCCGCTTCTTTATATAATTTTTATATGACGTAGGATTAAGGGCGAGTTTTTTTCCCCCTAAATTCTTAATAATTTCCAAATGGAGGAAGAAAACCACCCATAACAAGAAAATAAATCATAACCCCAGCATCCCCACCCCCCAGCAAAACAGCTCTCAGGTTCCAGATACATCTACGACACTGAACACTGAATGCCTGGGGCCAAATCCCAAGGTCATCTGCTTTTGTCAATAAAGTTTTATTAGAACACTGCCATGCCCCTTTATTTATCCTCTATGGCTTCTAATTTGAAAAGAAATGAACATATTCTTGTGGGCCCCCAAGAGTGTGGTGGGCCCTAGGTATCACGTTCCCTGAGCCTAATAGCCAAGTCAACGCACAGCTGTAAAAAAAGATCAAAGGAAACAAACTAGGCCAGGTGGGGGCCCAGGGTCAGCTGCCGAACAGCACCCCTAGCTGCCCTCGTGCTGCGCCTGAGCTGACTGAGCCTTCCTCTCTTCTCCACCCCTCCCAACTGCAGACATCCATGCAGAAGGGAAGTCAAAACCTGGGCTTCCCACCAGGGCCCTGGGGGCCAGCAGCAGCAGCAGCCCTGAAGAACTAGTTAGAAACGCAAACTCCCAGGCCCCACCCCAAACCCACTGAATCAGAAACTAAGAGTTAAGGGCCTCCCGCTCCCAGGGAGATGAATTCTCACTGCAGCTCCACTGCCTCGTGGAGCCTGGGACGCTGAGCACTCACACGAGCTAACAACTCCTACATGCTAGCGATCACATCAGCGATTGCTTTCCGTGTGTCTGTCGGCACACACAGCCTTTATTTTGGTCTAACAGGCAAAGGCTTAAAGGTTTTGTCCAAGTGACACGATCACTACTATTACTACCAATGACAGCAGACTCCCGCACAACTCTGAGGCCTCCTCCTCAGCTCCGCCCTGGCCCCACATACCCGTTTTGCCTGTCCTCCAGGCCCTGAGACGGGGCAGCAGGCTAGGCACGGGCAGAGGGATCGGATCCCTGTCCCCGATTCGGACCTCGGCCACCAGCTCCAGCATGTCCTCGCTTCTGCAGGGCAGAAGGAGGTGAATGAGCCCAAGAGAAGCTTCCAGCTCCCACGCCAAAGGCCTCTCCCACTCCAGCTGCCCAACTACTCACTCGCCAGGCCGCAGGTCCAGGTGGCTGGGAACCCAGGTATCTGGGGGATCCAGAACACTCACCAGCCCCGCGAGGAAGCTGTCTGCAGCCATGTCCAACACCTGGAATAGGCCAGGAGGGGCTCCGTCCTGTATCTGCTCATGTGAGGACCCACAAACCCCCTTTCCCCAGCCCCTAAATTCTCAGGAACCCAAACATCTGAAACTCCAAGAAAATGCTGGGATCTAACCAATTCCCTCACCCTGACTTGCCTCCAGGACCCAAGGCTCACCCCCACAGATGACGTCCCCAGCCCCTCCAACACCACTGATCGACTTCAGCCCTAGGAGTCTGGGTCCCCAAACCCAATGCCAGGATCCAGACCCCGGTGACCTAGCCCCCCCAACCCTCCCCAAGTCTGGGCCCCCAGCCCCCTGTTCTTACTCACAGTAGCCGTGTCAGTCCCCCCTGACTCCTGGGAACGGGGCTCTGACCGTGGGCTCCGGCAGCGCCTCCATCGAAGGCCATGACACCGGGAGCCATCTGGAGAGAGATTTGCATGGGGGATTGGAAACGGGACTAGACACAGACTCTGTGGGGCAGAGGAAAGGGGAGCCTGCCCTAGCTCTTGCCAAGGGAACCAAGGACCTGCCAGCTCTCCCTGCCTCCTTCCACCATGCCCCAGCTCGGGTCCCGGAAGGACATCCCCAACACCATTCTGAGGCGCCAGCACTCTCACCCCTCTGTCCTCCTAGCTGCCCTCAGGATGATGTCCAGACAAGGCACTGTGCCTTTAGAGCCTTGCTAGGGCCCAGTCCCCAAGGAGCTCCCCTGCCTTGCCTCCTGCTCACACCCCCGTGCCCACCAGCCCCAGAAAACGACGACGCAGTCCTGCAAGGTGGCCCAGTGCTGTGCGCCCGCTGGCTGCCTCTGCCTACCAGGCTTCCCTCTTTACTGGACCACTCTAATACATCCTTAGAGACCCAGTTCCCCTGTATCCCCCCTCTAGGAAGCCTTCCCAGACCCCATCTCCTCCCCCACTGGGCCTCCTCCTGCCCTCCCACAGTGCCTCGGGCTACTTCCGCCCCCATGATGGTGTCTCCCCTCCATCAGACTGGCAGCCCTTCCGAGGCAGCCGTGGAGTCTGACCCATCTTTTGGCTCCCTGTGCCAGCATGAGAGTGGTACCCAGGAGGCCTCAGAAGAGTGGTTATGAATGAAATTAGGGTAAAGAACACAGAGATGGGACAGGAGGCTAAGAGGAACCAGAGCCCATCATACCTTTATCATTTGGCAGATCCCCCTGCAGGGAACTTCCCACAGCCTGCTGAATGGCCCGCTAGAGAAAAGGTGGAGGGTGAAGGGGATGGAAAGAAAGGGCAGTCAGGGGACTCGTGCAAATGATCACAAGCTCTGCTCCTGGGAGACAGCCATTCCAGACACCCCTATAGCCAAATCCAAACCCGTCAGAGGAGCCAAGAGTCCAGGCCCCCAGCCCCTCCTCCCCACCAGGGCCCAGGTGTTGGGCCCTGAAATCTGAACTTGCAGCCCATCCCTGCCTGCCTTGGCCCTGGGTGTCTAGCAGCCTTACCAGGATAAAGGCAGAAGGAGAAAGTGTGGGGTCTCTGTCCGGTGGACCATCGCCCCGATCCTCGCCCGACTCCTCTGTCTTCCCTCGGGACTCATCTTCTTCCTCCATGGTCACCTGGTGGTTGAGAGGGTGACAGTTTGGAGTGGAGACCAGGGCGCAGGGCGGTCTTCCGGGAGGAGCAGGAAATGGATGCAAAGACCTCAAGGGCCTCAAACGTTGCTTTGCTCAGCAACCTCTCTGGCATCCTTCCCTTCTACCGCTGCACTCCAGTCCTTGGGTGAGCCCCACGACCAGTGCAGCCATCGGAGGGGCCCGAGTGGGCTCTCTTCCCTTGCCTGGATCCCAGCTGCCCCCCTTCGTGGAAGGGAGGCCTTCCCAGCCTCCCGTTTCAACACGGCTCTCCCAAGTGCCCACCAAGTGCCAAGACCTCACTGCCCACCCTCCTAAGACCCAACCCAACGCCAAGATTTTTTTTTTGGTTGAGTTGTGATTTCAAATACCGTGTTCCATAGTCTCCTAAACCCTCCTTTCCCAAACTGAGACATGCACCAGTGGGCTGGGTGTACCTCAAATACCACACCACTTCCTACAGCATCAACTCTCCTCGATGGCGCAGAACCAAAAAGTTGTATTTATGTGCAAAAGATGGAAATGCAATAGAGCAATGTACAAAACCAGTACTGAACTGAAAACACTGCTTTCAGAAAGGCAGGCTGTCCACCTGACCCCACAGAGGGCATCCACCTAAGGCCTATGTGCCCACTGGATGAAAGCATGGCTCAAGCTTTCGTGACGTCACAGAAATTCTTAGACTATACTAAAGCAGAGAGATGATCCCTCGCACTGGTGGGTGTCTGGATTAGGACTTCAGAAAGCATGACTATTTCAGCTGCTGGCTTCCCTGTAACCATCAAATCTGCTACTTTGAAAACAATATCCAGTCTGAGTTCCCAGAAAGCTTTGAAACCCGTAAACTGGCCCCCACCCCGACTCATTGTGCTTATCTGGAAATGGGCACAACAGGAGTATCTAGGTCCAAGAAGGCCTGTGAGAATTCAAAGTGGACTGACTTCTGCCACAGAGTCAGCACAGCCCAAGCGTTCAATACAAAGTAACAATAATTAGCATTATTAGCCTCCAGAGGCCCAGGTTTATCTCTGCCACTCTCCCAGCCGCATACCTGCAAAGCAAACACCCAGGTCCAGGTCTCTCTTCCACCACAGATTTCCAAGCTAAGCCAAAGCTCCCAGCAATGAGCCTGGAGCTCCTTCCCTAACTCCCACTAACATGTCCTGCCTATAAACCCCTGTGGACAGTTCCCAGCCCTGGAGCTGCTCTCCAGCACCTCTGGGGGAAGCACCTGCTACGCCGAACAGTGACTGTCACATAACAGAAGCCTAATTGAGACCTGCTGAGTACAGACACACAGATCTCCAAGCCCTCTGCGGCGTATGAAGATGATCCCTTGCCCATGTGGACGTGCCCTGGGCTTTGCAGACACACCCAGGGCTCTTTAGATCTTTTCAACATGAAAACACATTCTGCAGACATTGCTAAGTCCCTCTAGGTCAGTGTTTCCCAAACTACAGTATGATAGGAGTATAGTGGTTCACGAATAGATTGTTATAAAAAAAATAAATAAATTGAACGCAGGAGAAAAATCTTCACAGTACATCGCAGGGTGTTAAGTGGAAATATGAATTAATGGGACTTTGGTATTCAACACATAGGGGAATATGCAATGGGTCTCAACAAAAAATGTACTTCTTACTGTAGATCAAGGTCAAAAGAGTTTGAAAAGCATTACACTAAATGAATCTAGGTGATCCTACAGACTTCCCCACACTAATGTGGACTAATTCTAATCTCTATAGCTCCAGGGCAATGCAGAATTTAAAAACATTTTTTCATTTGAATTACATTATAAAGTGCAAGTACATTTGAGCTGGGCAAATTTTCCAATACTCTCCTTTGTCTTGTTCTCCACGCGATTATACAGCCTCAAAAGGCATTCGAATTTGCTCCAGGCATAAAGACTGCACTCTTGCAGTCACACTGAAAGCCAACTAGATGGTTCCAGGTCCTTCTAACTGCCCCCAGCCTCCTGTCACCCAGATTAGACACTCTTCAGAGGTTAGAGACCCATCCAGGCCTCACACCACACCTCAGTATTTGCCTCCCTCCCTTGGTGGGTATACCCCACCCGTCTGGGTGGCCCTAAAAGACTTCCTGGCCCTCCAACAGTTCTCTCAGGCCCGGTAAATGGCCCCAGACCCATGTAGGTGAGCCGCATCCTCAAGTCAGCTCATGCAGACACTCCCAGCCCTAACAGACATACCCCGGGCGCTATAGATAGCTCTGCAGATACTCCTCAGCTCTTGCAGACCTCCTTCACCCTGGGACATATCTCAAGATCTCAAGATGGCCCCAGAACCCTATAAACAGACCCTAACCTCTGGTCAGCCCATAAAGACGATCAGCAGTGCCTACAGAAATGACCCACGCCAGCTAGGTGATGGAGAGCAGGCTCCAGTCCCGGTCCAGCCCGGTGGACGTCCCCAGTCCTCACGGGGACGCCCCGTAGATGCCCCCCGGAACCCACAGACGCGTCCCGGGGCCTTGAGAAGGCCCCCCGCTCGGCACCAGGTTCCGCCGCCGCTGCCGGGCCCGAGGCCGCCCCGCTAAGTCCTCCAGGCCCCGCGGCGTGTGGGGAGGACCCCAGGACCACTAGGGACCCGACTCCGCCCCGCCCACCCCGATAGGCCCGAGCCCCGCGGCCCAGACTGCCGCCGCCATCTTACCCCGCCGCTCGGGCTGCGGCTCCGGCCCCGGCGCGGGGCGGGGCGGGCTGGGGGGGCTCGCGAGCAGAGGGAGGAGAGGGGCGGAGCTAAAACGCCGCCGAGCTTGCCGGGACTTCAAGTACCGAGCACGGTGCCGTGAAGGCTGGTGGGAAGACTCCGGACTCAGTTTCCCAGAAGTCAGTGGGGCACACAGGCAGGGGCGCGCGCGACGAACGCCGGGAGGCGTAGTCCGCGCGTCGCCTCCGTCGCGCGGGGACAGCAGGGAAGTGAGAGGTGAAGGGGGCGGGGTTGCGGTAGCCCGCGACAAGGCCCCACGGTGCCCTGCGCGCGCGCGGAAAGAGCTGCGGAACAGGAAGTGACGTGGGGCCCTGAGCAGGGTTGCTGCAAGGGAATTGTAGTTCCGAAAAGTGGACGGTAGAAAAAAGCGGTGCTGGCTGGGAGTTGCACCGCCCACCTTCTGGGGATCCCAGAATATCCGGGTCTCCTAAGTCCCCTCTAAATATAGAGCCGAGGAGCCCGACCCTACAACCTCCTCCTCATTCAAGATGGAAAAGTCCAAATTCCGATTTCCTCTCACTCAGCAGGAGTCCAGACTCCCATTTTACTCCTTCCTGGGACTGGGGAGTTCGACCTCTCCTTCCTCACAACCAGAAGTCGGGCCCTCATGCCCATCCTTCCTCCATCCTTCCATTCCTGGTCTCAAACTCGTACTTCACACAGACACAGGTATTTGAGTTCCCAATCCGGATTCCCTCAGATCCAGATATCTGAATACCCGGCCCCCCCAACCCCTGGACCCAAGACTCTACGCCCCCAGCTCTCTCCTTTGCGGAACCTAGTAGTAAAGACTCCCTGATCCCCTACTCCCCGGGACCCAGGAGTCCAGAACTCCAGTCTCATTCTCCCCGAGAGACCCCGGAGTCTGGGCCCTCATCTTCCTCCTTCAGGACTCACAAAGCCTGGCCCTAGGCCCTTCAATGACCCAGCCACCCCAGTTTGGGCGAGCTGGCTCAGGGATTAGGAATGCAGTGATCTCACGGCCCCTCCCTGTCCCGTTACCCCGCTGTCCCCCTCCAGGGCCCCATCTCCCCTCCCAGTCTGTCTTCCGCTTGGCTGGGACTCCGGGAACCGGAAGCCTGGGTCCCTTAGCGGGCGGAGACTCCGGCGTCCAGCTTAGACGCCCGGGTCGGAAGTTTGGCTAGGATCCCAGGACGGAGGTGGAGCTTCCCTTCAAGACCCGCTCCTTCCTTCGAGCGCGCCTATATACGGCCGCGCGCGAGTCGACGAACCCCGCCTACTAAAAACGAGGCCTAGGGGATGTTGCCCGAAAAGCGAGGCCTCCGGGATCCTCATTTGCATAGCACCTCCCCGAACGATTTTCCCGACCCGTCCGCCGAAAGTGTGAGGACTCGTATTAGCATAGCCCCGCCCACAGACGGCCCGCCCGCAGAGAGCGCGTGGCGCTGCTCCCGGTGAGTTTAGCCCTAACGTTAGCATATCCCCGCCCCATTCGGAATTCCCCTTCACAAGGAAAGCCTTTCCCCCTCCCTTATTAGCATAGCTCCTCCTTTTCCCGGGCCTTACCTCCTAAGTGTCCCGAGACTCCAGTCCTTCTCTCCGGAGCTCATGATTATGCAGTAGCCTTATTAGCGGGGCCCGCCCCTAGGCCCCGCCCGGCTCCCCCCAAGGCGGTAGCGGCGGCGGCAGCAGCGGTGGCGACATGAGCAGCGGGGCGGCGTCCGGGACAGGGCGGGGGCGGCCCCGGGGCGGGGGGCCGGGGCCCGGGGACCCCCCACCCAGCGAGACACACAAGCTGGTGGTCGTGGGCGGCGGCGGCGTGGGCAAGAGCGCGCTGACCATCCAGTTCATCCAGGTAGTGGGCCCTCACCCGGGGGGGTGCCCCCGGGACCTAGAACTGAGCCCTTTGGGAGATCCCTGAGACCCCGATTTCCCCTTGATCCATCACTCAGACCCTTCTATGAGACCTTCTAATCTTAAAAAATCCCCTCAGATGGTGACCCTGAGCCCCCCAGCTCCAGGGCCTCCACCCTCTACACAAGGGACTTATACTCGCATCCTGAGACTCCCCCCCCCAACCCTCCTCCCAGTACCCAAGACCCCGCTTCCCTGTGGACTTGACCTTGAGCACCTCCTGGGAGCATCCTAAATCCAAAAGTCACCCCATATAGACCATAAGCACTCCCATAGGCCCCCACCCCTAGGTGTCACTTCCCCCTACCCTGAGCCCCATCTCCCCCAGATCCCAGGTCCCAGCTTCCCGTCTGAGCCACCCAAAGCCTAATTGGGAGATTACCCTCCTCTAGATACTAAGCTCCCCCAGAATCTAGAAATTGTGCCCAGAGTTTGCCTGGGGCCCATCCAGTACCATCTGGTCCTGAGAAGAGGCACCCTCAGACCCAAGAGATTTCAGAAAGATCCTGCCCCTGGGCCATTCCAGAGAATTCTTATGACTACACGTCCTGTTCCGGGGATCCCCCACCCCACCAGACCCAGACCTCCCCCTCCCCCAGGGAAAACCACCCACTCCTCCATGTTGAGTTTTCTTCCACTCTAACTCCTTGAGCATCTCTCAGAAACCTTGGCTAGCCCCCAGATCACCTCCTTGAAGAAACCCCGATTCTTGACACCCCCAGAAAGACCCACTTCTTGGGAGTTTCTCTGACCCTGTAAACGCATTTTGGGATGTCTCAGATTCTCTAGACGTGTACCTATATTCTGTGACAAACCTCCCAAATGTATTTGCACCTTGGGACTCTCCCCAGCTCTCACCCCAGACTTCTCCAGATGTGTTCTGAAGACACACTCGTAATCCCCCCATGGCGTGGTCCCTGCACCCACCCTGCAGGCCAAGCCCTCACCAAGCACCCCTCCCCTAAAAGACAGGAGGCAGCTCTCAGACCCCGAGCTACCAGATCACCCCTTCTCTCCTGAAAATCCACCACTGCCCAGGAAATTTCCAGCCTATTCCCAAGGGAAACCCTCCCACCTTAGAGAAACCTTAGAAAGGTGTTTCCTTTCTGAGATGCTACCGCAGAGGGTCCTGGGCCTCAGGCTCCTCAAGAGACCCCAGCCAGGCCCTGCATGGGAGCCCCTGCCTATATAGTAGAAGGCCCCAGCCCCTTGCACCCAGGGGCGGACCCAAAGCTGGCCAAAGGCCTGGCTGGAGGCTGGCCTGACCCAGGCAGGAAGGGAGGGGCCCAGCCTCCGGGCCGGGCAGCTTCTCCGCAGCTGGATTGGAACTTGTACCTTCCCCTGGGAGGAGACACTAGAAGCTGCCTGAGAAGGAGGGGGAGAGGGAGGAGGAGGAAGAAGGAGAAAAAAAAGAGCGAAGAGGAGGAGGAGGAGGAGGAGGGAGAGATAGAAACAGGCAGACATTCTGGGCAATAGTATCTCCCAATAACTGAGCACCTACTAGATCCAAGCCATACGTGAAATGCTTAGCAGGAATTTCCCCCCGAATCTCACAAATGCTGGATTAAGTATAGTCTTATTTTTATCCTTATTTTCCAAATGAGGAAATTAAGGTTCAGAGAGGGGAAGTGATTTGATCAATACTGCACGGCTAGGACATAATCACCATGTGGGAGATGTACTTTATACCAGAGAGAGAAAACCGGGAGAGACTCGGAAAAAGGAGACTAGGTAGGGTGGGAGGAAGGAACAGAGACCCACAGAGAGGGGAGCAGGGATCCAACAAGAAGTGGTGGGGGAGGCAGAACCCAGCGATAGGGTTAAGTCATCTCTCCTGGGGCACTGCAGGAACCGCAGTAATGATGTCTTCTCCCTGTCCCCCCAGTCCTACTTTGTGTCTGACTATGACCCAACCATCGAAGACTCCTATACGAAGATCTGTGCTGTGGATGGTGTTCCAGCCCGGCTGGACAGTGAGGACGGCGGGGAGTGGGTGGGGGGATGTTGGTGGGGCTGAGGTCTCCTGGGAGCCTCATCCCCACGGTGGCCCCTCTCCCTCTGTCTGCAGTCCTGGACACAGCAGGCCAGGAGGAGTTTGGTGCCATGCGGGAGCAATACATGCGCGCTGGACACGGCTTCCTGCTGGTGTTTGCCATTAACGATCGGCAGAGGTGAGGGGAGTGGAGGGTGCGGAGCAAGGCGGGCTGGGGCCCAGCAGCTGGCCAGAACTCACGCCTCTGGCTTCATCTGCAGTTTCAACGAGGTGGGCAAGCTTTTCACGCAGATCCTCCGTGTCAAGGACCGAGATGATTTCCCCATCGTGTTGGTTGGGAACAAGGCAGATCTGGAGACACAGCGCCAGGTCTGGGACACTCCCCACTGCCTCCAACCCCTGTCCCCATCTCAACCTGGGAGGCTCCTTTGGGCGCCCTCCTCTGGCTCCCCTGGTCCCGCTCCCTCTGTTGTCACACTCATCACTACATGGGTTGCCCCCAAATTGGATCTTCTGCGTTCCCAGTGTTGCACGTGACTTCCCAGAAAACTGTTGGATGGGACCAAGTGCACCCGCAGGTCGACC